CTTTAAAAAAAACCATCATCACAACCATCATCTTTTTTTTTTTTTAATTTATTAAAAAAAAAAAAAAAAAAAAAAACATAAAAGTTGTGTGAACCTCACCTGAAAAAAAAACACCCAAATCACTACAAATATATAGAAATGATGTTTATATTTTTCTGTTTTTTTCTCAACAAAAACAAAACAAAAAATCGCCTCAAAGTTAATTTGCATAAATGTTTTTTGTTTCATTCATTTCTTTTGGTTTTCTTTTTCTTATTTTGATTTTTCTGTGTGTATGTTTTGCCTGTGTGCGTGTGTGATGGACTGAAAAAAAAGTAAAATTTAAAATAAAGTAATTTTTTTAAAAAAATTTGTAATTTTGTTTGGTTATTTTGGAAAGTTTTTTTTGGAAATCCAATCATGTCATCCAATGAATGACTGGTTTGGGTGTAAATAGCGTTCGGCCATCATCATCATCATCATCATTGTAATCTGATCTTCATACATGCAATTTGGCTTTGATGAATTAATGGAAAATGCAGCAACAACAACAGCAGAAAATGGAAAAGAAAATTCATCAAATCTCAAATGACAAACCGAAAACCGTATCCAAACAACATGCTATCAGCAAATCAGATAATCTAATCTGATGAAAAAACAAACAAACATCTCTTTTTTTTTGTTTCCAATGATGTTATTGATTGATTGATTGGTGATAATAACACGGTGTTAGTCAAAAGGGAATGTAAACTCGATGTAATAAATGATAATAAAGTGAAAAGAAAATATGAATTTGTTGTTGTTTTTTTTTGCCCAACTTTTCTTCCTTCCCCCACCATCAAAAATGTAATTATCATTATCGGTTGTTTGGTAATAACGATTCTCACTCTCACGAAAAAGAATAGTTTTCTTTCTTTCTCTCATCTCCCAACAATAGAATATTCTATTTGTTTTGTTTCATTCATGAGAAAAGAAGACAAAACAAAACAAAATTCACAATATTTATTGGCCATTTCGTTTACATCATCATCAACATCGAATAATTTGATTTCGATTTTCATTTCAGTTTCTATCCAAAATGATGGGCAATAAATTTTTGTTTTGTTTTGCTTGTTTTTGATTGTTTTTGCTTGTCTTGTTATCTCTTTCCAGCATCTTGGTGGCCATTTTGGTTATTTTTCTTCAATCATCTTGATCATCATCATATTGAAATCATTTTCTTTTTTCTTTTTTTGTTTACAGGTTCTGGTTTCTATCATCAACAATGGATAATTGTAAAATTCTTTATTCTTGAGTTTCTTTATTCCAAAGTTATTCTGGTTATTCTGGTTATTCTGGTTATTCTTGTTCTGGTATCCTATTGTATTCTTTTTTTGACGTTTTTTCTTTTCAATATTTTTCATTATCTCCCAAAACCAAACCAAAGAATATCACAATGTAAGTCACGATGTAAGAGAAAAAAATGAAAATGAAAATCTTGTCATTTTTATGATTAAAAACCGAAGAAGAATATTCTGGTAAACAACAACAATGGATATAAAAAAAACTTACTTACTTACTTAACACTTAACACCTACGCACACAAAAACAAAAGCAAAACAAAAAAATAACCAAAAACGACCAAGTAATAAAAATAAAATGTTGGTGGTGTTTAGTTAACACAAGAATCCAATCAATCTTTGTCATCATTATTATACCCTATATATTCATTGGATTCTTCTTTATCTCGACCATCTTCTTGATCATAATCATAATCAAGTATTATTTACAATCAAAGATGATGATGATAAATATTTTAGCGAAACAATATGAAAATGGATATTATGATTATGATGATATTTTGAATAACCAAGAAAAGAATATTCTTTGTAGTTATTCTGATGATGATCAGTTTTCATTTCATTTTTTGTTTATTTGTGAAAAGTTTTTTTGTTTCTTTAGTTTCTTGGCTTCTTGAATCTTTGATGAGATTTTTCTCTAGCAATCTTTTTATGATTGTTTTCGAGAAGAGTGAAGTG